TTATATAAACTTAAGTATCCGTTAATCAGGCATTCCGACAATCCTTTGATATAAGAATTTCAAAATGTCTCACACTAAAACCTTAGCGATACTTTCCAAATTACGTATGAAACGTTTTCCTACTGGCTTTCTTTAGGTTAAATGAGAAAGTTCTATCCGTGTTTAGATCTGCTGATTAGTTCGGCTACTTTAAGTACACTACCAAAATAATGGCCAAGTGAATGGAAACGCTAATGAGAGTATCTGCAAACCCATCTAGAAAAGAGTTGTTATGATTTTATATCCGGCTTTCAATCACGTGACTTATTCACCAATATATATATATATATATATATATATATATATATATATATATATATATATATGTAATAGTCAATTAATGTCTCAGAAGTTAATCGTGATTTAATCTTCGCTCGGATATTGCAAGAGTGATTTAGATGATTCACATATATACATTAGTCATAGCTAATTGAAGAAGTACACTTCTTTATGATGACTCTGATTCATCACAAGAGTTTAAGACCATTGTGTTATCTGCATGGTTTCCTTTATTCTATAAAATCGCACTTCGGATTCCTTATATATTGATTGAAAAATGTTTACCCAGCAGATCACTTAATTACAACACAAATTTTGATATTAACTGCTGGAATGTTCATAAAAATAGACTAGTATTACTGCAGCAATAAATATTCGTAATCTTTAGTGGTAAATGTCCTACGTGATCCTTCAAACATGTATCCGCCTTATGAGGGAAACAAACGGTATGATCATAAATAGTAATCTGAATGTGTTTAAATGTGAAATACCACTTCGCTATCGTAATAAATTTCTTCGGTTTATTTTGCAAAATGATGAACCACTGCATTCTCACCAGGTCGTATATATTTTGAAATTCCAAAAATTCTTGATATAACTCACAGATCATCCAGAGGCATTAGTAATGACTATCTCGTGCCTGACATGTCTGCACTTCACCGGTCACAACATCCCACCAGAACTTCAAGAACTTATTGCGAAGTGACTCACTAGCAAACACATGATCGCAGCATTGGCAAAGGACAATTTTGGAGATTGGTTTACTTAGCAGATTGTATTCGTCACAGACTAAACTCATCATAATTTCAAGGAGTTCCATACTGACACGAAACATCTATATAGTTCTCCCTGTTTTCACTGGGACATCAACTGAGATAAATCTTCAACGAATACTGATTACAAACGAAGCCCACCTTCACTCAATCCCTTCACTAGTACATATCATAAATGTTTTCCTGGTGCATGTTCTCCAAATGTATTTCTTAATTATTGCAGCTTGTCAACTATTAAACTCGAATAATACTGTTGAACACTATCGAACGTTCTGCTTGCCAACCATCTGAATGTGGAATTTAAAGTCTTACCTTTTGTCTTTAAATAGCAGTGAGTTTAAGTCAAATTTAAATGCTGGATTATTAAGGATCAGTGTTTAAGCTTTTCAAAAAGAACGGGACATCACCAAAAATGAAGACTAGCATTATACGAGTATCCATTATGATGAATAATTAAAGTCACTTTAACTCAATTATTGTGTATAGATTTATATATTAAGTTCTAAACCATCATGTTGTGTTAAGTCTATCATGCAGAATTCGAAATTAAATTCGAATGGTGAAAAGTCAGATATAATAAACTGTATTGAAATGGTGAAGATTTGTAGTTCAGGTGGATGATTTTGATGCAGTTTTGTTCTCTCAACTGACCAAACCATCCAGCTCAGAGAACAAAACTCCATCAAAATAAACCGTATTACATCCTAAAATTACACAAATAAATAGACCTTCCATTTTTGGGCTGGAAAATCGAAAACAATTTTATCAAATACAAATAAATTCAAAAGTTCCATTCTAATCCATTAGTCCACTAGCTAAAAATTTATTTCTATTTGCCTTTGTAAATATTGATCAATTAAATAACTACTACTTAATAAGTAGATCTCTAACAGATTATATCAAAATACTCCATTATCAATGAAAAAAAGGAATTATACCTTAGTTAATGGACAGACACTAAGATTGAATTATAAAATAAACCAAATCAATATCAAATTATTAAATGTAGTAAACATAACTACCGATGCACTTTTATACAAGACAGAGATGATTTGAAATCGGAAGTTTCATTCAATATCATATTTGTATGTCGGATGTATCTGTGTATTAGGAATTGTTGGTTTTCATGATGGAGATGGAAGTAAACTTCCATCTCTAGGAACGCTAATGCATCAGTAACTAGATTACTGAGATGTGTTAGTCGCCTGATTTATGGGATATAGTTTTATCCAATGAGTAAGAAAATATGGAAATTATGTAGAAATGATATCCATAAGCTTTTTAGCTAAAAGGTAACTAACGGTACAGTACAACTGTTGCATTTAAAATGTTGGCTTAGATCAGTGACAGATATCACTGTTATTTATTCAGCTGCTTAAGTATTGTCCCAAGTTTCTCTCCAGATCACAATCCCAATTTGGAATCGACTGATTGGTTTATCAATTCTTCTCCAAACCCATCATTAAAGTCTTTAATATTCGAGCTAAACTCTAAAAGGTCTTCTCCTTACGACTCATTTAAACCCAGTGATATATATTAAAGTATAAGCTCTAACTAGAAATCGATTCGAGTTCGAACATATGATCCAGACAAATATCGACATTTCCAACGATGCCTGATAATGATAAATTTTATTTGTGTCGATATCACCATGTAATATATTGTCTCTCATTATGCTTTAAAATATTACTTACAAGAATTAAACTGTTCTCTGTATATAGTTACAATAGCCAACGTTACCTATTCATAGGGCTAGAACAAGGAAAGATCCATATGTGTATTTTTCAACTTGACGTAGACTACTTTCTTGAGTAATAAAATCACCAGCTACGATTGCTGAATCTGAGAGTTTCAGTCTCTGAAAGAGAGCAGGAATCATTCCATAAATCTGTTCTCCTATTTCATTGTGAACTTAGATTTAGTGATTTAATGGAAGTGCTCAAATATGGATGTGAAAGACAATATGTATAATATCAAGGTAAAATACACTAATTCCGGATGAGTATATGGGAAAAAGAACTTGACATATTATAGTTTTGCATTGGTAGTTCCAAAATACTCAACACGGAACATAAACCTTAAAATTCATTTTACATGCTACTAACACAGAAAAAACATCATCTCCTATCAACGGAAGTTTTAAGAAAGTTGTAATGTCTTAAATTTTATCCACGTGTGCTTGTGTGCTTGAATAATTGGCAGCATTGAGCGCTGAAATTGTCAAGCAGTCACCATAACAACCTGAAGCAAAATGAACCAGAGACAGTTAGCTTTTATTTCAGAACCTAATAATTTTCACTGAGCTTTCACAAAAGTTATTAAAAGTAATAATGCTACTACTAATAATAATAATAACAGTAATTGAAAAGTGAAACTCATAACAAAAACAAACATTGACATATTGAATGAAAAAAATAGTAGGAGAGACCAGCTCCTTAGAAAAGTAAAAATTATCGTTTGTGCCAGCAATCATTACAAGTCATTACGAAAAATGTTTTGTGCGTATACAAGAGAAAACGATAAAATAAATACATCAAAGTAAAAAGGAAAACACACTGATCAGAACACATAAATAAATTTTCATATAAGTAAACAAACAATTTACCACAGTAATTTAGCGTAAACATGTGAGTAGTTTAAAGGAAAAATGAAAACTACTCAATTGTAGTGATATAAGCAGCTGCTGACATAAAACATATTCCTAGATTTCATATTTTTTATTGTAGAAAATAAGCGAAATAATTTTCTCTGATAAAAGGGAACGGTGAGAAAATTTCAAGTCAACCAACAATAGAAATTATCAATAGAAAAGAAATATCCTATTCTTCCTTATTTTCTTTTACAAATTCGCTAACATGTTCCATGTAATTAAAGTGAATAACAACAAAACAATAACAACGAGATCTCAACAATAATTGTAATAATACTGGTTACAGTAATAAAGTAATAATTATTGATAATACTAATAGTATTAAAAGTAGGTAGACAGTTACAAAATAAAGCCATAACGTACACAGATCTGTTGATCAATTTAAGTAGTATGAAAAGTATGTTAGTAGTATAAAAAGCAATCCACAGAATAAGTGCATACATGAGAAAACTTTCAATAAAGCTCATTTTATGTTCCAAAAACAAAAAATAGTATCTTTCGTCCGCTACTTATAGTTTACTTTCGCTTATTGGTTATTTTAATCATTTTACATTTGTAATATTTATGTATCACAAAAAAGAAACGATTTAATTCTTTCCTTCTCATGTGGTGAATATACGAAATACCAATAAAATAATAATAATAATAATAATTCCCCATGACTATAAAACTAAAACCATTGATTACTTGAATATTCTTGCAAAGAAACAAAAAGGAATCTATAGAAAGATGAATGAAATATCAAACTGCCTAATTAATTGAATACTCCTATTTATATATGTTGTTTAAAGATGTTTCCTAAAAAATGGAAAGAATTTCTATTCTATGTGCATGTATGTATGTATGTATATATGTATGTATGTATGTGTGTATGTATGTATCTATGACAGAGATAGATAGACTAAAGGAAACTTAATCCGCATTATGAAACCAAGAGATAAAGGCAGTAAGTGATGTTTGATAAACGTCATCCTATTGAATGTTTAAGACTAGTGATAACAATATTGGCATTAGTAATAATAATAAATAATAATAGTATCATTGAAACAAAATGCATTGACTAAAAATTAAAAATAATTCCTACAAAACGAGCGGATAGCAAGAAAAGATAGATAATACACCTAGTCAATAGTACTACGTTTTAGGTGAATATCAAATGATTCAAATGACTTTAGTAGTCACTTTTCATTCTGGTTTCATTGCTTGATACTGATTGTTTTTTCCCTGGTTGCATATCACAGAAATGAAATGACTATCAGTTACTCCCTAAAATCACCATGTTCATCGTCATCGTCATCACCAAACCCTGGTGGGAAAAAATATTGCATAAATGGCTGTTGGGTTTGTTGGGGTAACTGTTGTTGTGCTATCGTTAAGGTCGGTTGTGGCACGTGTAAACGTGCTTCTGAAAATCGTGGGGGTACTTGTGAAGTTGACGGTCCAGGTGCCAAATAACACTGCGGTGTAAGTGAATGTAATAATGGACATTGAGCTATTAAATGATTTGGATCACGACATCGATAACAGCGTCGTCGCATAGGTTCAAACGGACATGTGGCAGCTTTATGTGAAGCGTATTGTCCACAATTATAACAGCTAACAATATAGAGATATTTTTAGTTGGAGAAAAATTATAAAATAAAAAACAAAATTTATAAACAAAGTATAGATAGTTATAATTCACTTAACTGTTTGAAAAATCCCCATCATCTTAATACGTACACATTTCATACTATTATCTTACATACAAATTAAACTGTATCCTTTCACACCATAAAGGTCACACATTCCTTCGTTTAAAGCAATTATTTTTGTACTCATTAGGTTGGATGCCGGCTCAGTAGTCTATTGGTTATGCGCTCGTGTGAGAGACTGATAATTCCTCGGTTCGAGTCCCGCGAGGCGGGGTGGTGCATGCGTACTGCTGAGGAGTCCCACAATAGGACGAGACAGCCGTCTACTGCTTCCAAGTTTTCCATGATGGTCTAGCTTCAATTGACTCATGATCTCAAGTACTAAAATGTATTTTATTGTAAACCTAACCGCTTTTTAGATTTTAAATTGGAATATCCAACAGTAGAACATAAAGAAAATTTATTGGTAAGGGTTCATACCGACAGAGAAAATTATTTTGAAGGAGGGAAATTCGTTCGTGTAACTTTCTTCTACAGGCTCAATATCTATAAATGAATACAATCTTTACTGTCACAATAACAGAAGTAGTGATTTCTCGTTATCGGTAACGGTGTGTGATTCAAGTAACCACAGTGACTTAACCTGATATGCTTATTTCGAACAGTGAACTTAGCTATATTTTTTAAAAATAGTTTGTGGAGTATGTTAAAGATATCAAATGATCACCAGTTATGTCATCCAATATAGTTTAAGGAATTCAGGAATCGATTTCTTGATCGAATTAGCAATTTAATCACCATAAACATTTCACTAATTTTAGAATTCATTAAAGCTATCATAATAAAAAATCTATCAAAAACTTACACTAGTACATCTTTATTTATCTTAATCTATCTAGTTTATAAATGAAAATCATTATTTGCCATAACACTCTTAAGTAAGTGATGTCAATTTTTTTAAGAGTTGCTGAAAACAATAAAAAGTACTCCTGTTTCCATCATCAGTCCTACCTCTCAACACTAACCCAACTGCTAGAGAAGATTCAAATTAAAACATTTACATGAAACTACTTACGATTGATTGATCACTGGATAGTGACCAATGTAATGTATTTCAAGTCCTTATTTGTGCTATTCAAATTCTGTCAATCATGTTACAATTTGGTCACTAGTCTAAAATACACGACATCGTGTGTATCTTATTGAGATGTACTTAGATTGTCGAAACTATTATTTGTTCTCCGCGAATTCTTTTGTTGACATACATATATTGCTCAGTAAGACTGAGAAGATGATTCCGACTAACAAACTGAAAACCAACAATCATTTTTAAACTAGGCCCTGAGTCGATTTTCTGGACATAAACTCATTCATAAGTTTACACAATCAGTAAAAACTGCCTAAATCAAAAGTCACAATGCATTTATTATTTTCAATCAACCCGTGCTTGTCATTATGAAATTAATCAGTGATTGAAAACTTATAAACAGTTTTTTTCAAAGATAAGCTTCATCACAAACTGACACACTAACTAGAGAATTACTGTAAACCAGGTAATGCTAAAAAGTTGATTTGTCCTATTTTTGAACTCCATAACAGTACAAACATATAACCAGGTGATTAATGCAATCGATGTCTAAATGACGTTGCGCATGTTGCAAATAGTGATGATCAATAGTCCAATTTCACCTATTAAGGAGTTCAAACTAAGATAAATTAGCCTTACAGTGTGATATCATTTTTCAGTAATTCTTTGATCGACATCATTTCGTGGTCCAAACCTACATTCAACATTTCAAGCAATAAAACCGTGCTAACCAGTTAGCATTCACTGTTTACACATTATAATAAAATATTGTTTATTTAACAGTATTTTATTCAGTTTCACAATTACTACTATTCTCTTGTATAGTCTTTAGCTACTTATAAGTAGTAAGTGACTCTACGTAAAATTATTTGGGAAATTATCAATGGATTTATGCATTTATTCATTTTACTGTTATGTTCCACATACATCTAACGAACACTGATATTTACTTAACTTCCTGAACTACATGAAAGCGTTTTGACGCTTGCACATTTCATTATAATCATTTCACTATACGCCGTAAAGATCACTCAATGTAATCAAAGATGACTGACATAATATGTAAAATAGACAACTCAGACAGTTTAACATTTGGACGATGCTGGTAATAACCTATGTTGGACTGAATTCATATAATTAATTTCCAAACGAGGTCAGTTGAAAAATGAACAGCTTACTGACAATTTATGTAACTACTGGACTGTTCTCGGGGAAAGTATAGTTTTATTTATCAACACAGATTCTCCTAGGTAATTGATACAACACTGCACAAGACCGGATTTATTACCTCCTGCAATAATTTTCAACCAGCGAACCTTAGACAATATCTGATCCCTTAGATCTATTTTTATATGTTTAAATTATATAAATTAACAACTGATTTAGACCAATGTGATATAATGAGTCAATCAGAGGTAACCAAGTGAAGAGGGTCACTTGATGATAATCTGAAATGACATGAAAGACAAATGTATATCATTGACTAAGAAACGGATTAATTTTTTAAACTGTAGAGACGTTTGTGTTAAAGTAAGTGTTTATGCATACTATTTGGTTGCCCAATATACTTCCTCATCCACTCCCGTGTTCTCTCAATAGTAGTCTGACGGTGAGTCAGTGTGTAGCACATTGTGTATCAATATCAGATTTCGGACACAGCCCATCATAACACTATTTAAGACTTTCTATTTCGAAATTTAGACCTTCTAGTTTACGGTAAACGCTATACCGCTCGGTCACTCAAATATGATGAAGAATTTACATCAGGAGCGTTAGAATGGTTAAAACAATCAGATTTCTATTTCGAAGATTAAGTAAGTTGTTATCAACCCTTACTTTCTATCTCGCTATTCCATCGTTTATAATTTAAATAGAATCATAATTTAGATTTTTATTGAGCAATCATAACCACCAGACAGAAAATTAATAACGTCTCAATTTATTATGTCACTTAATAGAAAAATTTTTTCGGTCCCACAAAATGCAATATTATATTCCCAACGAAACACGAAGTTTCTCTTTATGAGTGTAGAAATTTTTTTAAAAAGATATTATGTGGGGGTAGGATTTGTCGAAATCATTCAAATCAATAAAGCTTAGGAAATATCGTGAACTGATTAAACTTGCAAATATTGAGGACTGTTTTCTAATTCAGTACTTTTTGCTCTACCAAGATCTGACGGACAGATTATTTTTACAGGTTTTATCACCTTTATACGACTTTTATTTCTGCTGACTGTCTTGTTCGGTTGACTTTGCATCATGTGATTGACTGACTGTATCCACATGGACAGATACTTATGTCTGTTACCCCCTAGTGGAGCGTAGGCCGTCGACCAGGATTCACCAACATTCTCTAACATGGACAGAAAAACTGGATCAATATTAATGTATCTGTTAACAGCAGATTGAAATAAATTTCAAACTTCTATAAGTTCTCTGTTATCCTTGAAGTTCCCTAATATTCTCCTAAACTACAACTAAAGTTTCTCAGTTAAACTCGAAAAATGCTGCACTACCGAAACTACGTACCAGAGTTACAAATCCTCTCCATCATTAAAAGTTATACTGTGGAGTCCAATATTTCAGTCACTAAGATCACAAAGGACGGTTAAAAAACAACAACAAATATAATAAAAATCCTTTAACTACTAAATATTTTTGGTTTCATTGGATAGAACTCCACGGAAGCTACCAATCAGTGTATTTATCAAGCTACTGTGTATATAAGCAAATGATTATTCATATTGGAGGAATCTGTAGATCTTTCATGTGCGGATTGTGGCTGGAATTATTCAAAACTAAGTTTTGCTAAACAAAATGCGAGCTTTTAAGGTAAACCGGAAATGGGTCCATTTGGTACTGAGATGTCTGCCATTCACTACATAAGGTTTGTGAGTTACAGTCTAATCGATTTAAAATGCCTGGTTTTCCAAAACATCAAAACCCGATAATGAGAGGGCTGAACGCATCACATCTGGATGAAAGTCATCTTGGTCCTAGTTTCAGACTATACAATGTCATGTATACCAAACAGATTGTGTTGCACTACAGAGATGGTCTTTTGCTTAACAGGTGGGCAAGACGGTTATAAATTTGACTAAAATCTTAACTATATACATATCTTTACTACTAGATTCATGGAAGGAGGATAAACGAGATCTAAGTATAAAATCCTGAACGTTATTTAATATAATCACTAAAACATTTAGATCTACAATTACCTCAAACAACCATTAACTTATCTTCATTCCTTGGACTTACCGAAATCGTCTTGTTCTACGTCTTTCAGGTAACCTTCTCATTCTAAGTGGCTCTGAACCTAGAGGAAATAAGGGTTGACGAACTGCTGGTTCTGACCATGGAATTCGTGATGTTGAAGGAATTTCTCTCATTTCAATTGCTGGTTGAATATTATATCCTTCTAATCCTCTTACACCTGGACGTATTTGAAACCAAACTGGTAAATCTGGATATAACTGCTCCGCAGAAATTCCGTATACGTTAGACTAGAAAGAATGTTTTTAGAAAGACAGACAGAATAGATTATGCTATTTTTATGACCAAAATAACAGGTGGTGAATAGTTTAAAACCAGGAAGCAATAGACATTTGTTTTGTCATACTATGAGACTAAACCGCAACACCAACCAGCCACAATCTTTAATAAAGCCGAACTCAATGAATTCACTATAAAATCCTTGTGGCATTGCGCTAAGATCCACATTTCCACCTGGAGCGAATTCGGATAACGACCGCCTAAGGTTCTAGTGGGACGTCTTGAGAAAAGGAATTTACACATGCCAAGAATAGACAGATATCGCTAACGCGCAAAACTTGAAGTGAATTGGATTTTAGAAGCGAATGTCAGATGGATGAATGTAACTGAGAGGAGGCTGTTGCCATTGTTAGAACGCATCTGCGAAGTTTACTTCTTGCCTTAGAGGAAATTATCCTGCCTGCATCACTCAGTCTCATGTTCATTTACATGACTACTGAGTTATGCCGATAACTGACACTCTGTATCTTGCCTCCAACCATATTAAACACAATGATCGACAATGTCGAGTCACATAGCCGTCTGACTACTTCAAAACTTGATTTACACTAAAAACTGGGTAGCATCACAATGGTCACTGCCTTGTCATTTTATCGACTCAAAATTAAACTTAAGCATAATGTAAGAACAAGTGTAAAATTCCACATGTAAACTTACTTCTGTAAAACTATACTGCTTTTTCAGGAGACAGGAAACCAAACTAATAACTGCAGATGAAAACGTAACCGAATACTACTATATTATGATATGTTTCTTCGAATATTAAAACTCTACCTTCTAATGCCCTGTAAATATCTCTCCATTACTGTAATTCAGCAATCAGTTCCATAAAAGTTTGAATTCCATTTCTTACCGGGAACGATAGCAATCTATGGTTATCACACAATTTAAATATTCATGGTCATTGTAAATGGTGTGAGTTTCTAATCCCCTATATAACTAGGACTACAGACGGTTATACTAAAGATTTCGAAAATTTCATATTGTTACACTATTATTGTACGTTTAAATGCAAGTACATCCATGGGGAAAAGAAACTAAGAACTGTGGGCTTAACTAAGCAATTTAAAAAGCATACATTTCAGAGACCAAAACAGTATTAATAGTTCGACTGAGTGTTACCTACTTGGTATGAAACAAATTTAATAAATCCAAGGTAATCTTCCGTAAAGTGATTAGTACAAGTCATAGCAATTCAAAATGAGTCAGTAGCTAACACTCAAAACGTTGATAAACGACGCTAATGGTATGAGTAAGTTACAATTCAGTGAGATTAACTCACACTCATAGTGTGGACTAATGTTATTTTCTCTAGTATTTAAAAAACTATCAGTAAAAATGCCTCAGTAAACAGTAGTAATTTAATTTACATTCAAATGTATCTTTCTAAACATTTCAGTTGTGCTTAAGAGAATAATTCATTTCAAAATTTGTCAAATTGTTTCATTTTATTACATTCTGTGTGCAGCTGTAATGTATATCCAATTAAATAAAATGAACGCGTTTGTGAAGCATATAGTTTTACCCTATTTGAATCATAACTAAAAATCTAAGAATGACCCTCTCCCACTTTGGAACTCTATACTCATTTGTAGCCAAATAACTACCCTGTTTTACAGTAAATTTCTAGCTCATACTAATAGTGATGGAGTGATAAGTAACACATAATGCAAAAACAACCTATAAACGTTGAGTATTTTATACACTAAACTTCATTATTTGAATAAAGAATTCCCGCACGATATATGACAGTAAATATTTTTTCTAAAAATTGATTCTTTACTTAAAATACATTCGTGTGTTAAAATTAAAATTAATAGTATAACGTAGTTATTCAGTTAGTTAACATCAGTGGGTGAGGAAACAGCTTTTTCAATTATATAAGAAAGATTTAATAAAGCCGACGCTCGAGATACTGATAAATTCAACGAATTCAACATAGCTGTCAATAACAGGTTCCATGTCTTACAAGATCAACTCAAAGAAGAGGAAACTACTATGGTGGACAACTGGAAAGAGGTCAATAAAGCAACCTAGTAATGACATCGGAAAGAGCTGCACGAGAAGGAAATACGAAACAACTATATAATGATATAATGAAGAAATTAGTAGGGAAATTTTGTAAACCAGAGCGATCAGTCAAAGACAAAGAAGGTAAGCCAATCACTGAGATTTGGGAACATCGGAGTAGACCAAATCACAACACTACGGATAATTGTTTAACAAACAATTGAACGGGACCCTTTGAAACTCTAAACAACCGTCGGTCAACATTAAAGTTAGAATCTTCAAATTCAGACTTTAATACTGTCCTATTGTACGGAGTTGAAACTTGGATAATTACTACAACCATCATCGAAATTGTACAGGTATTAATAAACTACTTTCTACTCTAGATACTCCCTACTTGTTTACCGGACAATGTCAGCAACAACTTACCGTGTGACAGAACAAACGAGCTTCCGACTGTAAAGGAAATTAAAAACACTTTAGTGGTGGTTAGGACACAGATTTCAGAAGTCACCAAACAGTCTTACGAGATAACCCCTAACTTAGAATTCTGAAGGTTGAAGGAAAAGAGTATGACAAATAACACGTTGAATAGGGAATTGGAGGCAGATATCCGAGGGATAAATAGTACTTGGAGACAACTGGAAAAGCGAATCCATGACCGAGTTAGTTGAAGAATCTTGGTCGGTGGCCTATGCTCAATGAGAGGTAACAGGCGTGAGTAAATATGGGTAGGGTTCCTATATTTTCTGAAAGTCAACCGTTATCTGAACTTCGAGTAAAATCGTTCATTTTTATGTGTTTCTTTTAAGTGATATTCCAAGTAAACAAAACGTCTCTCAGCTTTCCCTTAATAAACTTGTAAACCACTAAGACTTTATTGGATCTCTATTAATTATAGGTCGAATATCTATGTTTATCCATAATGGATTATTCGACGATGAGTGTATTTGTAATTTGATTTGTAGTAGTTAGAATTTTCACTGATTTGTTTATTTTTGTTATAAATTTTTATTTGTAAACCAACTGTAATAATTTTAAAGCTTATATATATAACTATATTACAATTATCTGCAATATTGTACTATTTAATTTACTTGGTGAAAAAAGACTTCCAAATTACGAAAATCTGCTACAATACTGCCAAAGTGTTCGGTCACACTAAAAGATTTTATACGACCTCTATTCCATTTTCCTGGACCAATATACGGATCATATTCTTGTGGTATACGCGGTGGCAACGGTGGAGGTCGTGGCGGAGGTCGCCGTGGAGGTTCCCATTCACGAGAAAGGGGTCCATATGAACCAACATATTTTGACCTAAACATTATATCTAAAATCGATGAACAAAAATATTGCTAATTAAAAAGTACAAAGTTAGAGGTTAACGTTTGTTTTTTTTGTTTAAAAAAAGACTTAATCACCTTTTCAGTTGTATAAAAGTAATGCAACCAGTACAACACTTGAAAGCACTGCAATTTGTCAATGACAAGACCATAATTGGTCAAAGTCAAAAAATTTCGTAATGAGATAAAACAGCTATCGATTGCTTTTTGGTTTTCGATAACTGATATCAAATCTTGACAAATATTATCTTCATTCAACTATAATTCAGTTACATAGTATACATAATATTCAGTAATTTTATGTACTATTTCATAGCATTTTTACAGTTTCTATTTAGGTCAGAACCCTAAAGATTCAGTTAATATTGTTTTCCAGATTTAGATTTATTAATAGTCAAACACAACCACGACCATAGTATTCAGGTTTCGTGTGAAGCACGACGTGAATCAGTTATTGAATCGGAACTTAACATTGCATGAAGTAGTCTAGGATAAAGAGAAACTATAAGTCAGTGAGTAATTATCCTATTTCTTCATGAGTGCCTCCCCACGTCAGAGATTCCCACTAAAATTTTTTTATTCGATGCTGTTGTGGAAAGTTGCAACCTCCAAAGTTGATCGATTATGTAATGAGATGTTTGATGTCGATGATAACGATTGTAGACCAAACTGTAAAGTAAATAAATCGGTGATCTTCTATAGGTGTTAAGCTCATGGTTAGAACTGAAGCTCGCGTTTTTGATTCCTTGTGAGAGACCTGGTTTTACGATACTGAATAGTCTCGAATTGCGACGAAACGTCTGTTCAGGACTTCTTCAGAGATAAATAATTACTTCGATGAAAAGTAAGCTATTAAATCCCTACTAGAGAATTGTAACTCATTTTTATGATCAGAAAGAAACAAACAGATATAAGCTTAGCATTGAACCAGTATAGAATAGCACATGCAAAGTGCATTCATTCAGCCCACCCTAGTAAGGTTTGGGACTAAAAATGATAATCGATAAGAATGGAAAAATACTAAGATAAATAGGAAATATTCGATTAGCAGAAAGATTTAAAGAATGACGCCTGAAAGGAGTGAATACACCTGATTTATTGCGTATAAACTCAGCTCTAACCACTCGAATCCCACGACTCGAAGTGAAAACAAAAGACTGGTACAAAATTTAATAACTCCGAAAACATGTACCCAAAACAAGTATTCACAACCAGTAGTCTAACATCACTTAGTCATTAAACCAAGCCCTCATTTATATATTGATTGTTCACACACTTAATGATTAGTTAATAAACATTATAAGGAAGAAATGATACACAGGATTACTGTAAAACATTTACGACATTCGCGCTGGATAATAGAATGAATGTAATTGTCACAACTCCGCCTGTAGCTCTTCTAGAGTTACTGCTGGTCCCAAGCCCGGGTAAAGGAGGAGGGTTGGACATGGGGTTAGCGAACCCATCCCGTAGAAAACTAACTCGCTAAAAAACGCTAACCAGAAAAAAAAATTCAAATCTTCTAAACTCTACCCTGGGAGTTAGAAGGTCTTCATTTAGAAGACCTATTACACCTGATGGTGAAAGCCGGGTTCCTTCGGAAGCCACGAGGCCGATGCCCCTTCTAACAACCAGAGCAACAATTTTTATAGATACATGGAACGTCCGGACAATGTGGGAGACCGGGAAGACCAGTCAAATAGCAACGGAAATGAGGAGATACAATTTGGCAGTACTGGGAATCAGCGAAACCCGTTGGACTAAAGCTGGACAACAAAGGCTAAATACGGGAGAGATTCTTCTATACTCCGGTCACGAAGAGGAAAATGCCCCACACACTCAGGGAGTTGCTCTAATACTGTTCAAAGTAGCACGAAATGCACTTGTAGGATGGGAATCTCACTGATCCAGAATCATCAATGCATCATTCAAAACAGAGAAGGAGGGGATCACAATGAATATTATCCAATGTTATGCACCCACCAATGATAGCAACGACGACTTTAAAGATCAATTCTATGAGAGGCTGCAATCAATCATAGAGAACTGCCCAAGAAAGGACCTCACCATTCTGATGGGAGACCCAAACGCCAAAGTCGGAATAGACAACACCGGATATGAAGATATCATGGGACTACATGGACTGGGAGAGAGAAACAAAAATGGGGAAAGATTTGCAAATCTGTGTGCATTCAACAAATTGGTCATAGGCGGCACAATATTTCCACACAAACGTATACACAAAGCTACGTGGATCTCACCGGACCACACCACAGAGAACCAGATAGATCATATTTTCATCAATAAAAAGTTCCGAAGGACAATGGAAGATGTGAGAACCAGGAGAGGAGTGGACATAGCTTCAGATCACCACCTGGTTGTGGCCAATTTAAAACTGAAGCTAAAGAAGAACTGGACAAACAGCACTACAAAGGTTCAATACAGCCTTCCTTCGAGATACTGACAAACTCAATGAATTCAAGATAGCTCTCAACGACAGGTTACATGCCCTACAGGATCTGCTGAAGAAAGAAGAAACTATTATGAAGAACAACTGGAAAGGTGTCAAAGAAGCATTAACTTCAACGTGTCAAGAGGTTCTGGGCTTCAAGAAGCATCATCATAAGGAATGGATCTCTATAGAAACACTGGACAGGATCAAAGAAAGGAAGAACAAGAAGACAGCAATTAACAATAGTTGAACACGAACAGAGAAAGTCCAACCACAAGCTGGGTACATAAGAGCAAACAAGCAAGTGAAGAAGAGCATTAGAGCCGACAAAAACAGAAATACATGGAAGAACTCGCAACTACGACGGAAAAAGCTGCAAGAGAAAGAAATATGAAACAGCTTTATGATACAACGAAGAAACTAGCAGGGAAATATAGTAAACCAGAGGGACCGGTCAAAGACAAAGAAGGCAGGCCAATCACTGAAATTCAACAACAGCGGAACAGATGGGCAGAGTACTTCGAGGAACTCCTGAATAGGCCGGCTCCATTGAATCCACCGGACATCGAAGCAGCACACACAGATCTTCCTATAGATGTCAATCCATTAACGACGGAAGGAATCAGAATGGCCATCAGACAAATCAAAATTTGGAAAGCAGCAGGACCCGGCAATATACCACCTGAAGCACTGAAGTCAGACATCGAAGTAACCACAAACATGCTTCGCCTTCTATTCAAGAAGCTTTGGGAGGAGGAACAAGTGCCGATGGACTGGAAAGAAGAAAGGAGATCTGAGAAAGTGTGAAAACTACAGAGGCATTACACTACTGTCAATACCGGGTAAAGTCTTTAACAGAGTGTTGCTGAACCGGATGAAAGACGCAATAGATGCCCAACTTAGAGATCAACAAGCTGGATTCCGTAAGGACCGGTCGTGCACAGACCAGATTGCGACACTACGGGTCATCGTCGAACAATCAATTGAGTGGAATTCGTCACTGTACATCAACTTCACTGATTATGAAAAGGCGTTTGACAGTGTAGATAGGAGAACGTTATGGAAGCTTCTTCGACACTATGGAGTTCATGAGAAGATTGTCAACATTATCCGGAACTCATACGATGGACTACAGTGAAAAGTAGTGCATAGAGGACAGCTGATAGATGCATTCCAAGTAAGGACCGGAGTCAGACAAGGCCGCATACTCTCTTGCTTCCTCTTTCTTCTGGTGATCGACTGGATTCTGAAGACTTCGACATCTGAGGGAAAACTCGGCATACAACGGACAGCTCAGAACCAATTAGACGATTTAGACTTCGCTGATGATCTAGCTCTCCTATCGCATGCACACGAACAAATGCAGATAAAGATAACCAGTGTAGCAGCAGTCTCTGCATCAGTAGGCCTCAACATACACAAAGGGAAAACCAAATTCCTCAAATGCAACAAGGAGGACTGCAATCCAATCACTCTTGATGGCGAAACTCTGGAAGATGTGGATTCCTTCACATACCTGGGAAGCATCACCGATGAACAAGGAGGTTCAGATGCAGACGTAAAGGCGAGGATTGGCAAAGCAAGGACAGCATTCCTTCAACCAAAGAACATATGGAACTCAAAACAACTTTCAACCAATATCAAAGTCAGAATCTTCAATACGAACGTCAAGGCAGTTCTAGTGTACGGAGCTGAAACGTGCAGAACTACTACAACCACCATCAAGAAGGTACAAGTATTTATAAATAACTGTCTACGCAAGATACTCAACATCCATTGGCCGGATACCATCAGCAACAGCCTTTTGTGAGAGAGAACCAACCAGCTCCCAGATGAAGAGGAAATTAGGAAAAGACGATGGCAATGGATAGGACATACATTACGCAAATCATCAAACTGAATTACGAGACAAGCGCTAACTTGGAATCCTAAAGAGAAGCGGAAAAGAGGAAGGCCAAAGAACACATTACGTCGGGAAATAGAATCAGATATAAGAAGGATGAATAACAACTGGAATGAGTTGGAAAAGATTGCCCAGGACAGGGTTAGATGGCGAATGCTGGTGAGCGGTCTGTGCTCCTTCACGAGGAGTAACAGGCGAAAGTAAGTAAGTAAGTAGGTAATTGTCACACTGGCCGAAAGTTCACACATCCCATACTGAATGAATTTCACACTTAGTTGACACAAAATATATTATCCTAAAATAATCCTACATTTGAAAATATGACTTCAATATCGTACTGACCGTGAAAATGAAATCGATATCAAAATGTCACATTGGGAATAAGCAATGTTACAAAATGTTGCACTGAGTTGGAGGAAACATGAACACTTCATCTTATCTGGTCTTATTAATAACTACTATCACCTTGAGAATCTAGAAATAAATTGGACATTTTTTCATCGTATCAGTCTGGTTTACTTTGTATTTACACCCCAGTTACACCTTCCATCCATTATGTGCGTATGCATCCGTACTTTAGTAAACGTAAATTACGCTCCAACAAATTCAGTACAGATTTTTAATATC